AGGGCATGCCAGGAAAGCGGCCCATGGCCATGGCCTTGGGTAGCCAAGAGCTCCTCATCCTTCCCACGGAAGCCTCGGCACCAGGAGACGCATGGGCAGGCCCTGCAAGCACTGATCTCCTCATCTCCCTTGTGATGTAGCTTTTAAACAGGTGATATTTCAGGGCCAAGGTGTCAGTGGAAGCAGCTGAAACTACGACATGGCAAATGTCCTAGGAGCTGTCTTTAAATCATCGGAATTTGTCAGCAAATAAACCATTCCCCGAGTGATTGCTTGGCAGATAGAGCAGGGAACTAACGCCTGGTGAAGCAAATCACCTGCCCCAGCAGATGCATGAGCTCCTGCCTTGCAGGGCTGATGCAAATGCCCAGTCTAGGGCTCTTTTCCTCGGGTTTGTGTAGAACCCAGTATGCACAAGGAATGCCAGCTCAGTGTTTTTCCAACCCAAAAACCAAACTGAAGGATCCCACCCTGAACCAGACAGCTCCTGGCTCCTGTTCCTGATGGGAGGGCTGGGTGGAAGGTGGGGGCTGAGCTGATGGAATTCCTGATGGCAGCTGTCCCTGAGACCAGCCTTACACCCATCAGATGCTTGCCACGAGCATCCCACATGGAGGGACCGTCCCTGCTCCTGGATGGGCTCACCCAGCCCGAAAACACAGCAAGGGGTGCTGGGTGCTGCCACCAACACCCCCAGGATTTGGAAATTCTCCATCCCCAGCTCCCCACAGATGTGCTGGGAGTGATTTTGATTAAGTCCTGCCAAAAGCCAGGACCATTGGTGTGCTGGGAATTGATTCTAATCCCGTCTCATCCGCCGCTGGGGAAGAGCTGCGTCCCTCCTCTGAGGGGGCTGCTGAGCCTCGTCACGCTCTTGAAAATTAATTACCAGCCCTGTAGAACGCCGCACGACCCTGCTATTATAATCAGCAGGTCACCTCCCTTCCGTGGCCCTCATCTATTGGAGCTTGGCAGAGATTTATTGTCTCCAGGTTGGGAACAAGCCTCGGCTGTCTGCTCCACATTGCCCCTCTGTGCACTGGCCTAATTCCGTCTGGAAAAAAGCAGCTGGGGCCTGGGGCAGCCAACAGACAGAGGGACAGCCCCGGGGATGTCTCCTTATCTGCACTGCTCAGCCTTGGCACAGGGATGAAAATCCAGCCTCCACAGCCTGTTATTGCGGCGGGTTGGATTTTGGGATGTGTGCAGGATGGAGGAAGCTGAGGAGCTGTAAGGGACCAGCCTGGGGACAGGACAGGGCCCTGCATGGTGGCAGGGCTGTGACATCCCCGTAGGCTCAGCTCCCCTGGACAGTCTATTACAGATCCTCTTTTAATGGGTAATTATCTTGACAAGACAGAGTGGCCTGTCTGCGCCTCCGGAGATGAATATGGGGAAGGACCTGAAGTTAAGAGAGAAGATTAATGGCTCCTGTCAATAATTTGGAAGGAGGGATCACCTGCTGGGTTTTGCATGAGTAATCTCCACATTCCAAAAGTGTTTCTATAACTTTGAAGGATGGGCTCTGCATTCACCTCCCTGATATCATCTTTTCCTGTCGGTCAGTTTGTTATCAATTCGCTTTAGTGTCATGTCAGTGGCACAGGTCCTGGCACAGGGACCTCCAGCATGGCTCCCAGGGCCGTCCCCTCTCACTGGAGCTTCATCCCACTCCTCCACAGCAGGGAAGGAAGGGATCAGCACCCGGTGATTGGTCCCCTGCAGTCCCCGTGAATCCCACCTTGCATCAGGGGGCATCCCTGCGTGGTGGAGCTGGAGTTAATTTTGGGCACCCTGGCGTGGCTTTCTAGGATGTGCTGCCTCTCCAGAGGAGGGAGGTGGTGCCCTCGGCTCCCTGACAAACCCTCCTTGCTGCTGAAGGCCTGGCAGGATGCCTGAGCAGGCCATGCCTTGGGCAGGGATGGAGGGGCAGAGGTCGAGGCTCTCCATAGCAGCGGTGCCCCTTGGGAGCTTTCTTAGCTGTAATTAACAGCGTGCTGCGCTAATCGGTGTCTTCTGCTAAGTGATTAACATGTTTGTGGTCCCATTAAGGGCGGTTATGACAGGGGGGAAGGCAGCTGTCACTGGTAATTGCCAGATCCTTGCAGGATCCTGCCAGCCGGGGAGGCTGTGGGGTCAGCAAGGCGGAGGGGTGGCAGAGGATGATGAGGGCAGTCGGGTGACAGGAGGCTTTGGGAGTGACATGGGGAACGGGCAGACAGTGATGGATGCTGCCTGGGTGGGCCTTGACACCACTGGTGGAGCCTGAGCTGGTGGAAACTCCTGGGAGACGAAGGAGGGATGAAACATGCAGGGGTGAGGGTGGGATGTTGGTCACAGCCCAGCCCATGTCCTGCTGGGGGATCTGGGAGTTCAGGGATGTCCCATGGCACAGAGATGTGATATCCCGAGGGCTCTTGGAAGCACAGCAGGGTGCCAGCACCCAGATTTTCAGAACCACGAGACGGGGAGGTTGGCTGGGTATTGGGTATTCCCCAGGGAATGTTCCTTGGCTGTGTGTCCCCTGGGTGTGCAGCTTTGGGAATGGGGTTGGAATTTCCAGCTGCTCCAGTCCAGGGCGGGCTCATTTGCAAGGGTTTGGGTACAGCAGACACATCCTGGGGGGGGACAGCTGGGGCACAGGAGGTGGAACCCCCTTCCCCTGTCCCCACAGACCGGGAGAGGATCGGCCAGGACTCCTCATACGAGCAGGAGGGGAAGGTGCAGTTCGTCATCGACGCCGTCTACGCCATGGGACACGCCCTGCACAACATGCACAAGAACCTGTGCCCTGGCAAGGTGGGGCTCTGCCCCCGCATGGACCCGGTGGATGGCGTGGAGCTGCTCAAGTACATCCGCAATGTCAACTTCTCAGGTCTGCTGTGCCCCTGGGGCACTGGGAGGAGCGGCCCTGGGGGGCTCTGGTTGTCCTGTTGCTCTGGTTGTTCCCAGTGTGGGTCACACAGCAGCACCCACAGTTTATTTGTGGCAGCTGCTGTGCTGTGAATGCAGTGTGGAGGGAAGGCAGTAGATCAGTGGGTGAGGAGGTCTGAGCTTCCACATCTCCTGAGAGCCTTTGAAGCATAAATCCGGCAGCAATCCTGCCCTCACCCTGCTCTCACCTGCTGCCCTGCCTTCACCCTGCTCTCACCTGCTGCCCTGCCTTCACCCTGCTCTCACCTGCTGCCCTGCCCTCACCTGCTGCCCTGCCCTCACCTGCTGCCCTGCCTTCACCCTGCTCTCACCTGCTGCCCTGCCCTCACCTGCTGCCCTGCTCTCACCTGCTGCCCTGCCCAGCCTCTCCCCCTGCTCGCTCCCCCTGCCAGCTCCTGCCCCACAGCTGGCAGAGGTCCCACTGCCTCCTGCTGCTCTGCCCTTGTCTGTCTCAGATCTCCTCTGGAAGTGAATTTTTTCCTCTGCCCTGTCTCCTTAATAAACATTTTCTGTCTGGTCCCCTTATTATTTCTATTTATCTCCATCCTCTGATCTCCTGCACAGTGTCTCTTTTATTTATTTTCCCCTCTCGCTTGATTCTTCTCTTCTTTCCTTTCATTAGTGTTTATCTCCAGAATTCACTTGATTTGACTTTTAAAACTGCTTTTCTCCCTTTCTTGAAAGAAGCAGTGAGAGGGGAGCATCAAGCCAGAGCCCCCTGGGACCCCATTAGCAGGGTGGGGGGTGCTGAGGGTGCTGTGGGTGCTGTTTCCTGCAGGCATCGCTGGGACTCCTGTGACGTTCAATGAGAACGGAGATGCTCCGGGGCGTTACGACATCTACCAGTACCAGATCAGGAACTCCACCCCTGAGTACAAAGTCATTGGGCAGTGGACAGACCACCTGCACCTCAAGGTAAGGCCGTGGTCCAAGGGGAAGATCCTGCAGGTTTTTCTTCTCACCACATAGAATCTGGGAGGCCCTGGGTGCAAAGCCAGGCAGCCAAAGTTGGTGGGGGCAGAGGGGAAGGTGTCCCCAGGTACACACTTGTGCTTCAGCATGTGTGACCCACACCCAGGGACTCTGGCTATGGGACAGGACACAGGAGCCAGACCAGAGCAGATGGGATTTCCTCAGGGAAGGAAGGGCTTAATTTTGAGTTCCTGGCATTGAATCTGCCCAAAAGGCCAATGGAGAGCTTCACCAGCTCCCTGTCCCCAAGCTAGGTTGAGCTGGGACCCTTTGTAGGATGTGCTGATGGGTTTAGGGTCCAGATCCAAGCAGGGCAGGACAGGACATCCCCTGTGCCGGTGCCTGCTGTGCCCTCAGCATGGCTGGTGCCATCTACCCCGCAGGTGGAGAACATGCTGTGGCCAGGGGGCGGGAGCCAGCAGCCCAGCTCCATCTGCAGCCTGCCCTGCAAGCCAGGCGAGAGGAAGAAGCTGGTGAAAGGCATCCCCTGCTGCTGGCACTGCGAGCGCTGTGACGGCTACCAGTACCAGCTGGACGAGTTCCACTGCAAGCGCTGCCACTTCAACGAGCGGCCCAACGAGAACCACACCAGCTGCACGCCCATCCCCATCATCAAGCTGGAGTGGAGCTCTCCCTGGGCCGTGGTGCCCGTGTTCATCGCCATCGTGGGCATCATCGCCACCCTGTTTGTGGTGATCACCTTTGTGCGCTACAACGACACGCCCATCGTCAAGGCGTCGGGGCGGGAGCTCAGCTACGTCCTGCTCACGGGCATCTTCCTCTGCTACGCCACCACCTTCCTGATGATCGCTGAGCCCGACCTGAGCACTTGCTCCCTGCGGCGCATCTTCCTGGGGCTGGGCATGAGCATCAGCTACGCTGCGCTGCTCACCAAGACCAACCGCATCTACCGCATCTTCGAGCAGGGCAAGAAATCGGTGAGCGCCCCGCGCTTCATCAGCCCTGCGTCGCAGCTAGTAATCACCTTCAGCCTCATCTCCCTGCAGCTCGTCGGCGTCTGCGTCTGGTTCATCGTGGACCCGTCCCACTCTGTCATTGACTACGAGGACCAGCGGACTACAAACCCCCACTTTGCCCGGGGCATCCTCAAATGTGACATTTCGGACCTGTCCCTCATCTGTTTGCTCGGGTACAGCATGCTCCTCATGGTCACCTGCACTGTGTACGCCATTAAGACCCGCGGGGTCCCGGAGACCTTTAACGAAGCCAAACCCATTGGGTTCACCATGTACACGACTTGCATTGTGTGGTTAGCCTTCATCCCGATATTTTTTGGGACGTCACAGTCGGCGGAAAAGGTAAGGGAGGAGGTGAGAGGCCTGGCTGGTGTCTGGTGTGCAGGGCTGGGAGAGGCTGTGGTGTCTCAAGCAAGAGGAGCCTTTCCCTGTGACTTGGTCAGCTTGGGAATTGGGGTGGGAAGTTTTCTGTGCTCTGTTTGCCCCACTGCCCCTTGTGGATGGGGGCAGTGGGCAGCACAGGCTGCTGCTGTGTGGGCTGGGGGAGGATGAGCCCCCAGGGCAGGTCCCTGGTGTCACAGACACAATTTCTGCATGGAAAGGGATGCGGTGCTGCCCAGCCGCCCCTGTTCCCAGTGCTGAGTTCCCATGGGACCAAGGCCATCCTGGATGAGGCTCTGTGCTCAAGTGCGAGGGATTAAGAACAAAGAATAAAAATCTCATGAATGAGACCCAAATCCCTTTGCCTGCCAGCCAAAACAGGACTCATCGCATTTCTGTCAAATGCAAACAGCTCCCGCCTGCCAGCCCAGCGCTGCTCTGACGAACAAACCTTGGAGCTGCTGTTCCCTGGAAATCCCTGGGGTGTCCCAGTGCCTGGATCCCTCTCTGGATCCCCCTGGGTGTGTCTCCATCCTGCTGATGTCATGGCTTTGGGACAAAACTGTTGCAAAGGCTTGCTGAGGGAGCTTTTGCTGTGGACACCTGAGTTTGTCATGTCCTGGAACATCCCAGAGCATCCATCCCTCAAGGAGGCTGAGTCTGCCCAGCCACCTCTGACCTTGGCTCAACCAAAAAGTCCCACCAGGCCTTCTCTGTCTGGAAGTGCGAAGGAGAATTAAAGGAAATAAATGGAGCCTTTTGCAGCATTTCCATTTTGATGAGATGGCAGGGGAGATACTAACAAGAAAGCAGGTTTTTAAAGAAATTATTGCAAAACAAAAGCTCCCCGAAAGCCTCCTTAATGTGCTTGGCATACTGTGGGTAATAAAGATGGAAATGATAATGATTGTAGATTATGCGCAAGGTTGCTCACCTCTTCACTGCAGCTTGTCACGGGATAATTTAGGGCTGCTGAACACTGCCTGTCAGGCAGCAGCTCCACAATAGGCTGTGCCTCTCGTTGGGGGTTGTAATGCACAGGCCTGCTCTGTTATTAGGCTGCTAACAAGCTGATTAGAGGCGGAAAAAGTGATGTTCTCAACTCCCCTCGGACGCAGAGCTCTGTCTCACAGCCCAGCCCTGCCTCCAGCCTGAGCCAACCCTGGAGGGGCTTTTGGGATTCCAACTTGGTGTTCTGCTCTGCCGATGTGGGAATGGGCTCAGTGTCCCCAGGCCATGGGAGTGGGTTCTGAGTGTCCCTGGGCAGTAGGAATGGGCTCTGAGTGTCCCTGGGCCAGAGCTGAGAGATGATGGATGTGCTCAAATGAGGCTGGATGGAGCAGAATATTGGGGCTCCCTCAGTGCTTTGGTTGTTGGTTTGCACTCCTGGGGAGAAAAAGGTCAAAAAGGAGCTGTTGCACAGCCTGCAGGGAGGGTCTGGCTCTGACAGTGTCCTTGGGGTGACAGCTGGGGGCACTGGCATTGACATCAGCCACAAGGGGTCTGGGGATGCTCCACAGGACACTCCCAGCTCATTGTGGGGAGAGATCCCATCACCTTCACCCCACTGCTGCTGGGACTGAGGGCCTCTTGGGCTCTGGAGTGTCTGCACCCTTGGGAATAGGAAATCCAGGAGCATTGTCTGGGCTGTTCTCTCATGGCTGAGGTCCTGAGGATGCCACAGAGCAAACCCAAACCTGTGAACCCCTGGCACTTCTGCCCTGATCCCAGCTGTGGCTGCAGGGCCACAGCCCAGGCTGCCTCATGGTCAGGAGGAGTTGGACAATAATCCCTGTTTTTACTCTAATTTGCTTTACCTCGTGCCCACAACTTTGCATGGAGGTGGCATATTACTGTAACAAGTCCCCCAAGCCTTTTCTGAAAAGAACCTCTTATCCCCGCCGATCCCGGCGGATTACAGAAATAGCAATAACAGAGGATCTAAAGAAAGAGACAATTTCCTGCGCTGATAAGGTGGCAGCAGAACAGTGGAGTCATTGTCTGCTTCCCTGTTTCTCACATTCGCTTTTAGCCAGGGAAAAGAGGGAGAGGGAAGGAGTGATAGGGACTGTCCAGTGGTGTTTGGAGTGCTGGAGGAGCGCTGAGCAGGTTTGCCCTTCCCCAGCAGCCACCACAGTGCAAAACCCCTTGTAGTGGGGCCAGGTGTGGATTTAGAGTGGGGACAGCTTCCCATTAATGCAGATTTGCTGTGGGACAGGCTCAAGCCTGGGCTGCTCCCTCGGGCTCACCCAGCCGTGGGCAAAGCTGGGCACAGCTCTGGGTTTGGAGGCTGGTGTGGGGGCATTTTTGGTTACTCTGCTGTCCCTCAGCGTCATCGCCCTGGGCTGACTGTGCTCTTTGATCCAGCCCACGAGGCAGCAGGAGCTGGAACTTCCTCAATAAGCACAGCTCACACCTCCCAGAGCTCTGGAGGAAGCTCCAGTGTTGATATCGGAGGGGCAAAGTGGGATGCTGGGCTGGAAGCCAATTAAGAGAGTAGGAAGTGAAACTGTGAGAAATGGTCATTTTTTGCAGTGGCAAAAGGTTAACTGAGCAGAGCTCCACGGCTGTGTGGAGGCTCCAGGCTAAAAATATTCCTGTCTGAGCTGGTGAGGGGTTTGCTGCGGCGAGATGCGGCTGCGGAGGCAGGGGTGGGCAGGAAAACACTTCCTGCAAACGCATCATTGAGGGGAAGGTTGCCACAGTGATCCTGTGAGACCCCAAAAGTGTTGCAGGAGGCAGAGAGTGGGATGGGGAGCTGGGGCTGGTGCCAGCAGGGTCTCAGCATGAGGGAGTCTCTGGCAGCACTGGGAGAACTGGCCCAGGAACGAGATGGGAGCACGCACAGAGACGTCTCAGCTCAGCTCAGCTCAGCTCAGCTCAGCTCAGCTCAGCTGCTCTCTCCCTCCTTGCTGAAACGCCCCCAAGCCCCAAGGCATAGGAAAGGGGGGACTCTGCAGAAGCACAAAATATGGAAATTGCTGGATTGGCAAGGGAAGGCAGGGAGCCAGGGAGATGAGGGGTGCTGAGCTCAGCCGTGCCCCACTGGGGTCATGCTGTGCTGGTTCCCAGGCAGGGCTTGGGGTGCCTGGAGTTGGGGTCCCAGTGTTTCCCTCATTCCTGGCCAGTCCAGGACACCCGTGGCAGAGTCTGGAGAGCTGGAGTGGAATAAAAAAAAGAAAAAAGAAGAAATAAAAAAGCGCACATATTCTGGCACAGAGATGTGTTTTGACTTTGCTTGATGAAATGACATTTTTATTTCCAAAAACTGCCTAGAGAGAGAAGGTGGAACAAACAAACCAGCGCGTGTGACAGCAGGAGGTTTTATTCTGGGGACAAACCAAAGTTTTTCAGTTGACTCAGAACAAGCTTGGTGGCATTTTCTCTTCGGGGCTGAGTGGGAACACTCTGGCCCAGGTACTGGTTGGCTTTGCAGGGTCACACGTGGGATCTGTGGGTCCTGGCGGGTGTCCTGGAGCAGCTGTGTCCCACCAGCTCTCACTCTTGGGGTGAGCTGCCTCCCAGGGAGCCTTGCAGAGCCTCAGCCTCAGCATGTGCTCTCCATCCCCTTTTCACTTCAGAAGACCTCAGGTGAAATGTGTGCCCTGGGGACATGGGAAACCTTGCTCTGGCTGCTGCTGCAGCTCCCGGGCTTCCCTGGCTCCTCCAGATGCTGTTTCCTAGCAGGGCATGAAATCCCACCTGTGAAACACCTGCAGGGAAATCCCTGGACATTGAGTGAAGTTCAGGAACTGCTTTAAGGCTCCTTCTAAACCCTCATTGGTGACCTCCACATAGATGTGTGCAATGTCATCTGGAGACCCAGAGCCCTTCCCTGTTCATCCCCAGAGCCTCAGAGCTGCCTGGTGGAGAAGGGGATGCTGGAGAGGAAGGAGCCAGATGCTGGCAGAGCAGGGATGCCCACGGAGCAGGGACTTGCCCTCCCGGCCTCCCTTAGAGGTGGGATGGTCAGAGGGAGGGGGGTCTCTGCTGCCAGTTGCCACCTGCTTCAGATGCTCTGGCTTGAGAGGAGCCTGCCAACTGCTCTCCATAGAAAAATGGATTATTCTACAGTCAGATTAATGGGCTTTCATTTTGCAAAACATCTGTCACTGTTAGTCCTGGACAGTGAGCGTGAAATTAGTTTTGACTGCAAAAAGGCAGCGTCGGTGTGTAATATGTGACTTACATGACAAGAGCCCAGGAGTCAGCTGGGGAATGGGAATTACCTGTTGAAGGGAGAAGGGCTGTGGGGTATGCCTTGGGAATGGGGTGTGCCCTGGAATTGGGGTGTGCCCTGGGAATGGGTGGGGGTCCTTGCAGCTCCTGCCCTGAGGTTGGTGGACATCAAACTTCACGCTGACCACCCAGCACTACTAACATTCCAGCGCTGCCTTCCCACTCCATTCACTTAACCCCAGCTTTCCCTCCTTTTTCCGTTTCCTCCTTTCCCTTTTGGATCCCACAGGAGCTTGGGGAGGGTCTCAGCTGGTGGCCTTGTGTCTTGCAGATGTACATCCAGACCACGACGCTCACCATCTCGGTGAGTCTGAGTGCCTCGGTGTCCCTGGGCATGCTCTACATGCCCAAGGTGTACATCATCCTCTTCCACCCGGAGCAGAACGTCCCCAAGCGCAAGCGGAGCCTCAAGGCGGTGGTGACAGCGGCCACCATGTCCAACAAATTCTCTCAGAAGGGAGGGTTCCGCCCCAACGGAGAGGCCAAATCAGAGCTCTGCGAAAACCTGGAAACACAAGGTGAGGTGGCTCCTGCAGGGGCTCACGGCGAGACCCTCTAAGGATCATAAATGCTGGGAATGGGGAGAGCTGAGCCTCATCTGCACATCCCTGAGTGCAGCGTGAGGCACACGGGGCTGGGGGAGCTCAGAGTGAGCAGGGCTGGCAGCTCCCGTGGCACCCAGGGAGGGGATGGGCACAGCAGCAGCGCTGGGGGTGGGAGGCTCAGGGGGACGTCAGCGCAGCACCGAGGGGACATTTTTCACTCTGTCACTGCTGGGTCACGTATCCTTAAATAAACAACAGAATAAATAATTCACAGGGCTTTGATATGGGCAGATCAGCTACGAAAACATCGCAGCTAACAAATAGCTCTGTCAGCTCCAATTCCTTCTGCTCTATCTAATTGTTATCTGGGAACACCAGTTGGAAACCTGCAGCAAGGTTCTGCTGCTGGCCAGGCACCGCGAGCTGCCGGCATCTCCTCCCTCTGAGCTCTGTGGGGACACATTTGGGTTGCTCAAGGTGTCTCAAGCTGTGCCATCTGTGCCAGTCCTTGGCTGGAGGGTGTCCCTGTGCCTGCTGACCTTGTGCTACCTGGGGAACCTCGTGGGGGTCTCAGCAGAGCGTTGTCCCCACTGAGGGCAGTGGCACAGCTCTGCATGGAGCGGGAGGTTCATTGCTCTGTGGCTTTTGCTGTGCCCCCCAGTGCCACTCTGGGATGTGTGGTGGCTTTGGAGCCATCGCTGCCTCCTCTCCTGGAGCGTCTGAGGGCTGGGGAAGCTGGGGGATGGCAGTAGGGTTGTCCCTGTGGCACCCTCTGGCTGAGGGGACAGCCAGGGTGGTTGCTTCTGTGCCCTGCTGCTCTGCTCCCAGCTGCCATGGAGTGGTGGACAGGGGTATGGGACACCCAGCTGGGACCCCAAAACCCCCTGGGACCCCTGTGATTTGTCCCAAGCAGGGCTGGCTGGGACAAGCTGAGCTCGGGGAAGCTGCAGCACCCCTGGGTCTGTCTGTAGGAGGCTGCTGAGGGAAGTGGGTGGGAAACTGAGATCACATTCCCACCGCTCACGGCACATCCTAGGGGCTCTCTTTGGGGTGAATCGTCCTTTGGGAGCACCCACAGCTGCTGTGGGGCTCAGGGAAGGATCCCAAGTGCCAGCACTGATCCCTGAGCAAACCCTGTCACATCCCTGCTGGCACCTCCTGGCGTGACAGCTGGGTCAGAGGGATGGGACCGGAGCCAGGAGGGGAATTTGGCCTCTGCTTGTGACCCACGTGAGCTCTGTGTCTCCTTCCAGCACTGGCCACCAAGCAGACCTACGTCAGCTACAGCAACCACGCCATTTAGTTCCAGGAGCAGGGACTGGGGAGCTCCTCGAAGGGACACACAGAACAGGGAGGTGGCAGCCGGGGGACACGCCCCAGGGAGCAGCTCCTGGGAAGAAATGCCATCAACAGCAGCAAAAAAATTCATAAAGAAACACTAAAACTCTTCCAGCGCCCACGGTGGCGATGCATGGCTCCCATGGAGGGACAGCGGTGCGCGGGGACGGAGCATGGATGAGAGGGGACGGACTTCAGCAAGTCTTTGGGTTTTTTTTTCCTGTATTTTGACAAAAAAAAAAAGAAGAGAAAAAAAAATAAGAGCCCAAACATTTTCCCTTTTCTGGAATTTGTGAGATTGTTTGTGGTTGTGCAGAACCTTCAGTTTTTTTATTTTTTTTTTAATCCTCCATTTTCTTTCATTCCTGTCTTCCTCCGTCCCTCTTAACTCTCTACCCCACATCCTACCAAATTCTGTATGTTGAAAAAAAAGGAAAAAGAAATAAAAATACTTAAAATTTACATTAAATAAAAAAACAGACAGCAAAATAAAATAAAATAAAACCTAGACTGTGTTCAAAGTGCTGATTTCTATAGGTGGTTCCTTAATGTATGTGATGACCATATGGATTGAAATATGTCTGCTTTATGTACTGACCGGTCAAAAAACAAAAACATACAAAAAAAAACAAAGTTCAGTGCCTGGATGTTTATGAATTATTCGATGACTGTGTAGAGCATGATCATTTTTATACGAGGAGATTTCTAATAAAAGACCCTGGTTTTGCACTCGGCGTTTGCTGTCTCTTGGTGACTTGGTTTCAGGAGGTGCCAGGGAAGGTTTTGGGTGGCAAAACCCTCTGGGAATGCTCAGGGCTTGGTGTCCTTCCTCTCCAGGCATTCCTGGAGACCCCAGGCACTGCAAGTGGTTGTGAGAGGGGGTGGGACAGGGAAAGGGGAGCTCTGTCCCGGGCAAGGGGCTCTGGGGCAGGTTTGGGGTGGAAAGGGCTGAATCCTCCTTGTTTTCCCTGAGCTGCTGAGGGGATGGAGCAGAGGGGAGGAGATTCCCTAGGATGTCCTACAGCTTCAGGCAACACTGGAGTCCCCATGCCTGGAGGGATTTGTTTAAAAAGTGCACAGATGTGGCACTTGGGGACACGGTGGCCTTGGCATTGGGGTGGACTGGAGGATCTCAGAGGGCTTTTCCAGCCTAAAGGATCCTGGGTTAATAAGAGCTGGGAAAAGCAGCTGTGCCCTGTGGAGAGGGTTCCTTTTCCTGGCTCCAGCCTGTCCTTGGGATGGCACAGCCGTGTGTGAGGGACGTGCTTGTTCCCAGAGTCTGGGCTGTGCCTTTTTGGGGCAGTTTGGTGCATTGGCTGCTGCTGTTTCTGTCTCTGGCCTGGGCATTCCAAATGTTTCCCTCTTGGATTGGGGCTGGCTGTGCTGGTTGGCTGCTGGATCATGAGAGGAGGATCCAAACATCTCTTTTTTGGGAGAGGGGGAAAGGAAGCAGAGGGTGCCTCCAGCTTCTGGACAAGCTTTGTTTCAGCTGCCCAATAAAATGCTGGACCTGGCCTGGGAGGGGGCACTGGGATGGCTCCCTGCCCCTTTGTGCCAGTTGCCCCAACCCCAAAGTGCTGCTATTTCCCCCTCTCTGAGCCTGTGTAATGTCACCCCTGTATTTTGCACATTTCAGGGGCTGATTGTGTGTTAATCACAGCTCTGCTCTCATTCTGGGGTGTGTGGGGGGCACCGGGGTGCCCTGAGCCCACGGGAGCCTCAGCCAGGAATTGGAGCCAGGGGGAAATGTGGCCGCTCCCTGCCTGTGCACAGAGAACAGAGCCTGGCCTGAAGGCAGGAGTTAAAAAAGGAAAAAAAGGAGCGTAATGAAAAGCTCGAAACTTTGATAAGATCATACTTGTCAAAAGAACTCCTCAGGAGAAAAAAACTGCTCCGTTCCCAGCGCATCCATCACTGTCGGGTCGGATGTGAGGCACTGCCTGGTTCAGAGGGCTCTGAGAAAACCCGAGTTGATGTCTCTGGTGCAGCTTCTGGCTTGGGGATTCTGCTCTCACGGTGTCACCAGCAGCTTTCACCCTGAATTCTGCCTGATAATGAGTGGAAAGGCCGATTCTGACTTAATTACTGCCTCCCCTTGCTGTGCCTGTGAGGGGGTGTGCTAAGCCTTCCAGAGAAGCCCCATTTTTGTCACCCCAAACCTGAGCTGCTGAAGGACACCTGTTCCTCCTGGCCCATTCCAGTGGTGGATGCAGTGACCTCCCAACACAGCTGGCTGATTTTATCCAGCACCTCCTTACACAGTGCTGTTTAATTCTGAACATTTCTTTGATTATGGGAGCTAATTAAAAGGGAGCAGTCTGTGAGCCATTGAGATGGATGGGGATCCAGCCAGGCTCTGCTGTGGATGTTGCAGCAGAGACCTATGAGGATCCAGATTCAGCTTTTTTGCTTTGCTTAATATTTTTAAGGGTAGCTCTGCCTGTGCCTGGGGAGAAGAGCAGAGTGGATGCTGATTCCTGGATATCAGATTCCTAGTTTTTGGTATTTTGGGGATTGGTTGTTTTTTTTTTTAAATGAGGTATCTGGAAATTGTTGCCATCGTTTCTCCTCCTCGCCTCCCTTAGAGCTTTAAAAGCACTTGTCTGATTTTCCTCTTATTTCTGTGAATGGCTGTTGAATTTAAACAATGGTAATTGCCTGAGTTCCCTGAGTGCTTGACCTGCAGATTTTTCACTTTTGCTGGGACTTTGAGAAGTGGTGAGGAAAAAACCTGGGCGGGTGCCAGCTCCCTCCATCCCCTGCTTGTGTCTTCCTGCCTCCTGGAACTTTCTGTTGTCCTTGGATGCTGTTCCAAATCGCCAGCTCTTCTGAGCTTGCTTCTCTAGGGACAAACAGGAACTTTTGGGGTCCCAGGGCACAGCTGGGGGCTGGAGTGGGAGCTGTGCCCCCGCCTGGAGCAGCAGCAGCCTGGAACCAGTCATTAACTCTCTTCTGTGAGAGGCAAATTACAGACTTCAGTGGCATAATTAGGCCAACTCGATGGGAAATGGAAAAACAAGATAATTTCCCTGCGAATTTTCCAGCCTGCCTGCCACCCCGTGCCTCCCTTTCCTTGTCTTGGGGAAAATCAGCCCCCTGTCCCTCTGGGCCGGGAGATCTCCTGTTGCAGCTCCCTGGGGAGGAAATCAGGAGGAAGGGGAAGGGAAGAACAGGGCTGGAGCAGAGCTTAGCTTGGGTAGGACAGGAGGACAGGGCTCCCTTCAGCTCCTCTCCCACAGGGAGAGCCTCAAGGATCCATTATCACCCCAGGAGAGCTGAGTGGTGCTCAGAGCAAGGCAGGGCTTGGGTTCAGAGCAGAGGGCAGCAAAGCTGAGGTGGGTGCTGTGGTTCTGTTCACAGTGCAGGACCAGCTCTGGGAAAAACTGGAGCTCATTTCTCTGCTCCAAAGCACTGGAGGAGCCGTGATGAGCCCGTCAGTGCTGCTGGGAAGGTGGGCAGCGCCTCTGAGTCAGGCTGAGGGGACAGTGGGTGCCCTGGAGGGAGTGGGGCAGCACCCAGCCCCATGGCTGAGGAAGGTCCAGCAGCTCTGGAGCCTTTGGAGCTCCCTTTGGAGCAGTCCCTGTGGCTGGAGGCACGGATGGGGGCACGGCTTGTGCATCTGGGGGTCTCTCCCCAGCCCCAGTGTTCTCTTGTAGGGCCCAGTGAGTCAATGGTGGTCTGTCTTGAAACCTCACTTCAGTGGTGAAAGCTGCAATTAGCATTTAATGAAGCTTCTTGCTTTTATTTTTAGGTAACCTCCGATTCCCTGACTGTGTAATTTAGTCCTCCATTGCTTGGAGATAATTAAAGTATGTCACTATAATTTGCTTTTTTTAAAAGCCTGTAATTATGTTTTTATTGAGAATAAAAAACGGGGGGGAGGGGGAAACAAAAACAATGTTAGGGGAGGAGAAAGCTTTGGATGGGCAAGGGGACTTCTTCCAGCTTGATGAGTTTGGAGCTCGTTCCAGGATGCTGGGTGGGCTGGGGACAGAGGAAAAGCTCCTGGTTTGAGTGGGAAATAGTGAGGTGAGCTGTTTGAAGCAGAGGGGTGAGAGCTCTGGGGCTCCTCAAGCCTTGAGGGTGGAGAAAAGACCATCTGGGCTTCCTCTGCTGCCTCACTGCTGGTCCTTGTCATTGTCCTCCTCCCTCATTTGCCCCAAAAACGCCGGGCTCTGGAACTGTGGTTGGCTGAGCCTGGGGCAGCGCAGCCGAGGTCTCATCCCTGCCCTCCCCACTCCCAAAACTGCCCAGCC